TATTTTGGGGTGGTTAAATGCATCTGGACAGAATTTCACAGTCAAAATCCCATTAATTACCAACTTGCCATAGCGTCCCCACTGAATCCTCTAAACATATATAGATTATGCAAATCTAATTTGGATGCTTAATTACAATGCTCCCTAATTTCCTCCTTTTTCTTGTTGTCTGTTGCCCTTGCTTGTCCTACCCTAAATTCTAAGAGTCCGTTTGGTACACAAAATTAACGGAATTAGAATGAATTAAGAGTTGAAATTCAATGAAATTGATTCTGATGGAATTAAATTCTCTCATTCCAATTCATTTTTTGGCACTACTAATTCCAAGTTCACATATTTTTGTGCTACCAAACAACAGAATTGAAATTGTTGTTTTCAATTTCAATTCTGCAATTTGAAATGCCAAACAGAGCCTTATGGAAAATGTTCACCCCAACCATTTTAAGATTCATGCAATTAATTAATTTGCATTTGAACATGTCCATGGCCACTTAATTACTCCTTATCTACCTTCCAAAAGCAAACACTTTTTGGTGTCTATTCTCTGCATATAATTAAATGACTGAAGTTTGTTTTAACAGTCTCATAATGAATGTCATAATATGATATTCATGACATACATTTAATTTGAAGGTATTACAATTTAGAATGCTCCGTTCTATCTTAAAATAGTTCTTATTCCATCTACACGAATATGAACGCTCTTAAAGCTTTAGCAACTGAGACGAGAAACAAAAGAAGAATTGAGAAGAGAAAGGAATCGGTGAACCCAGAGAGGAAAAGAGATTTAGGATTTGTGTTGTTATTAATTGATTATTTTAAATGGGTCACATCTTTATTTATAGGAGATGAAGAAACCCTAACCAGATGAAGAAACCCTAACCCTAATATAAAACTTAACATCACGGTTCAACAAAAACAACGAGAAAAAGAACCATAAAAAACATTGAAAGAGATCATAATTTTACTCTCATAATAAAACCTAGATTACAACAATATTACTATTATTATTACTAAATACAATTAAATATATATCATACTCTGATCTACTATCCATAACTGCACGATGGGAGAAATTTGCGGGGATTAGGTTAAGAGGATAGGAATCATTTCGTAGTAATTGAATAGATCATCATAAGATTTTATAAGTTACGAGTTTCATAAGAACATGAGTAATGTTAGTCACAAATAACTTGGACACAAACTTCACAAACTTACCCATTGTGTACTTTTCAAGGTTAACAAAATAATTTTAAGTAATTAAAAAATAAAAATTTAAATGCACAAATGGGAAATTTGTGTAGTTTTTGTTCCAGTTTTTTGTGACTCTACGACAAACCCTTCGTATGCCACATCCTAATGAAGTGTTCGTTTGATAACAACTGTAACATTAGTTTTCACATTTTATTTAGTAGTAACATTTTCAAAATTAATCAAAATCATTAAAAAATTACTTTCTCCATCTCTAAATAATGTTTCATTTTGACTTTTTTTATCTTAAAATAAGATACTTTGATTATCAAAGTGTAAATTTATATATTAATGTCAATAAACCAACTCAACCAAAAGCTCAAACTTGTGGTTGTGGCCCAGGAATGATTGTTATATACTCTAATAGTTAATGAATTTTGTTAAAAATCGATATTTCAAGATTATATTTCAAGACAAATCAAATGATATGAAATTAACATCATTATTTAATAAGTACATTTCAAATTAATGGTCAATTTTTTTAATTCTGACAAAAAAAAGTCAAAGTAAAACATGATTACGAGACAAAGAGTGTAATCAAAATGTTAATGCTAAATGAAAACGCTGTTCACAAAGTCATTTTATATACCAACCAGACGCAAATCATTTTATTTTGAGTGATTTAGGGGCTCTTTTGTTTTTTGACCAAAGTCAAACCGTTATTGTGGAGTTTGATGAACAACTCACGTTTTGGGATAGTTGTTTCACCTCAAAAGCCAAAGATAATTAATTACCCTATCTCCAAAAATAATAATTACCACATTTCATTTTAATTTATTTCAAAATAGTTTTATTTTTTCTTTAATGAAATCAGTGGTTCATGTTTTTTTTAAATATACTAGAGATATCAAAATGTCTACTCCAAATACTAGGGTATTTGACAAGTCATGACCGGTCCAAATCCTTTGAATGAGCGAAACCATGTTTTCTTGAGTTTTTTTTTATTTGATTGGAATAAATTTTGATCTGATCTGATTTAATTGTAGTTATATTAAAAGTTATTTTTGATCTGATCTAGTGTGGTCTAGCCTGATTACAATAAGTATAAATAATACTCCCTTCGTTCTTTTAAACCCTTCCATTTTTAACTTTTGACAAAAATAAGAAAAGTGTAATTTTAATTGACTTTCCAATCTTGCCCCTGATGTGATAGGTAAAAGTAATATGTGATAGTTTGGTTATTAGTGAAAAAGTATGATGTGATAGGTAGGGTATGAAAAAGTAAAGGTAAAAGTGGTTTTTTAATAGAAAGTGGAAGGATTTTGTGGAACGGAAGGAGTAAGTAATAAGAATAAGTTGAGAAGAATATATAGCCTTATGCCTAACTGCCTAAGGGATTACTTACAATTTACAAATACAGAATACTTCTTGTTCTCTTGCGTGAAAAGTAAAATGAAGTTTTAATACGGAGTATACAAAGTGTCTAGATGGCTATTCGAATAGTTAATGAATCTTAAACGAACATTCGAATATTATGTTGTAATCTAAAAGATGGATTCGATCAATATCGAATTCGAGGTCGTCAAAATTTATTCCCCTAATTCACAAATTTTCTTCTTGGTTTGTTTGACGAGATTTGACTAAAGTTATTTTAATCTTAAACTTATTTATTTTAGTATAAATATAAAATTTAAAAATAAAATTTATATTTTTGAAAACAACATAAAAAGTACTACTACAAAACAAGATGTGAAATGAAAATATTATATCCATATGAAAGGACTTGTGAAAACACGCATATAAATTGAATAAAATTTGATTGTATGAATAATATATGAAGAGCAAATTTATGGACAGATGGAATAAAAACATTGATGTACTTGTGCCAAACTTAAATTATAGTCCCTCCATCCCAAATTAAATTATTTGTTTATTATTCACATGGTCAAAACATCATTCACTCTCTTTCCATATTTTTGTTAGTCATTTGATAAAATAATATAGTCATATCACCACTAATTTTGTAGAACTTTTTATGTAGTTTTTAAATATGTAATTTTTATTTTTTAATTCTACACTATTTTTCATATAAATTTATTTGAAAATAATTTCAATCAAATACCGTAAACCGAAATAGGCAATTTAAATTGGGACGGAGGAATTTTTTCACAAAATATTCCTATTGAAAACATTCAAATGCAAATCTCATATTAATATATGCATCGTATATTGAACCGAATTTTTTATTTTTTCATTTACAACTTAACCCTAGACGGATGAAGTAGTTTTAGAGCATGTTCTTTAGACTTGGAAAAAAGAGTTAGAAACTGGAATAAATTGAAAAAACTTGAAAAAACTGAAAAAAATTTGAAAAAATTAGAAGAAATAGGAACAAACTAGAAAATTTAAAAAAAAAATCAAAAAATTATATTTATTTAAGTGTATTTTACATAGTATTTTTATTATGCTCCATAATTGTTATTGTTTATTATTATTATTATTATTATTATTATTATTATTATATTCGTAACATGTAAAAACAGCGAATAAAATTTGACTACGTGAATATTATACATGTAATTTAATTACGGAGAAAGAGAAGAGTATATTAATTATTTTTTAATTTAAAATATTGATGTTTTTCTCGGGTCAATTTAGATTAATAAAATATCAATAATTTATTGAATATAGTATAGTGTCTTATAAATTAAACAAAATCCCAATAAAATTGTACTACGTATTATTTATGTTAAAAATAGAATAAAAATAATAATGAGTGTGAATCACAAAATAGGGAAATGGGAAAAATAAAATGGGAATAGTTTATAAACTATAGTAATAATAATAATAATTATTATTATTATTATTATTATTATTATACACAAAAAAAATATTATTTTCAAGGTCAACTTTTGGGACTAAAAAAACATTGAAAAAAATAGAAATAGTTTGAAAAAATTAAAAAACTATAAAAAATTGGAAGAAAGTCAAAAGAACGGGAAAAAATGGAAGAAATTGGAATGAAATAGAGTAACTAGAAAAAACTGGAAAAAACTAGAAGAAACTGAAAGTTAAAAATGTAAGCTCTAAATAGCAGGTTCTTAGTAGTTAGTTTGGATTATTACCATTATTTTGGTTCATGAAAAATACTTAGAAAAAAAATAAATAAATAAGAATGCCAGAACATTGAGAAAACAATTTTTTTCTTACACAATCCACCTTGGAGTTGTGTTTTCGCGATCCTAAAGTTTACATTCTATTGATTCAAATGTGAAATATGGATTTTCTCACATATTTTATTGGCTAACATGAGTATCCTGTTTTTTATATAAAAAGCCTTATTCTTTCATAATATTTATATGCTAAGGTTCATAAAATTAATGCTGATCCAAGACCTATATAAGAATTTGTAAACATTCTTCAGCAAACATATTATATTTAGGAAACACATCAAACAAGTGGCTAGCCCTAATTTAGGAGTATATATGACCTAGACTGAATAAAATATTTTCTTGCCGATTATGACCTTATAAAGGCGGGAAAACACTATTCCACATCAGAAAAGAATTTCTTACTTTCCTTTTCTTTCATCTATTTCAATATACTTATATTTCCACTTTTTTATTTTTGGAAAATAATATATGCTCCAAAATATCAATATTTCTTTTAAACAAATTCGAACTACCCTTTTTTTCCCTTTATTTTACATACATCTTTTCAATAGTTTCTTTTAATTTTCGTAAAGAAGTGGAAAAAATTATTTTTGAAATAAGACTTTAAAAGCATAAACTATAAAGCAAGGGTTTACAGATTTTAGAGACATGTGGGTGAATTAGAACAGATAAACCCTTCCTAAACGTCATCTTTTCCGGCCTCACACTCCATTGGTAAGCTATAAATTCAAAGAAATTTTTTTTACCACTCTTTCATAATCAAAATTCCATATATAGATTAACAGTAATAATAATTATAATTCCCTTTGCTTTGTTCCACAATGGCCACAATCACCGTAGAAGACCTGCATTTGTTCCACTCTATAGATAGGAAGATCTTCTCTCGACTCGTCGTCAACTCGGCCCGTAATCCGGCCGAGTCGCTTCTAGTCATGGCCTTCTGGCTGTGGCTCGAAGACCTCGACTTCCCGGGCGTCATAGACAAGATGATGGCGCTCTCGGACTCCACGGTCAACGCCTTGGCCGACGAGGCCGCCGCGTGCCTGAAACGCCTCGAGTCCTCGAAGCCGAACCGGAATCCTAGGGTTTCCGACGAGGGCAACGACATGCCACTCACCTCCATTGTCATGGGAAGGGCAATTTCGTCCAAGCTCTTTTGCCCTAACAAGTTCACCGCCATCAGCGGGATCAAGTCCTTCCTCAACAAGGTTTGTGCCATTGTCTTTGCAGACATCCTGGAGCAGGTCTTGCCCGACGGGTCCTGCCGGGCAAGCCCTGACTCCAGCATCCCGGTCCCGGGATTCCCGCACCCCACGTTCGGGTCGATCGCCGTGGTCCCGAGGAGCCGGGACTCGGCGATACCGAACGCGGGGCTCTGGGGGTGGTCGATGGCGACGGAGCCTCCCGTGGACGACAGGACGATGTTCCTGACGTTCTCGAGAGGGTACCCGGTGACGGAGGAGGAGGTGAGGGAGCTCTTCAACTCGTACTACGGGGACTGCGTGGAGGCGGTGAGGATGGTGCCGCCGGCCGCCGCGTCGGAGCAGCCGCTGTACGCGCGGCTGGTGGTGCGGTCGGTGGGGACCATCGACCGGGTTTTGAGCGGCGGGCCGATCGCGAAGTTCCGTGTGAACGGGAAACACGTTTGGGCACGTAAGTACGAACGAAGAGACGGTGAGAGAATCACACTGTCAAATTCCAATGTTTTGGATCCCTTTGGAAACAACAATGTTTGTAATTCGGATTAATTAATAATGTTTCTAAAATATTAAAATTAATGCCAAAAATGGGGACTTAATTATTAATTACTTTGTTGTATTATGGGATATATTGTACTACTACCATACATATCCAACACAAAATATATACACAATATTGACTATGATATATAATCGTCATTAGGTTGGTACTCCCTAATTTTTTTTAATGTTTTGGTAAATTCTTTCTCATGCAATGGTAATGTTTTTTATGTGTTTGTATAATTAACAGAAATATATAACTTGTTTCTTTTGCAGATTAATTGAGTTTTTACAAAATCACAAGATTATCTCTAGTGTAAAATTTGGATGATATACTCCCCCTATGTTTGGTCTACCATCATGGCATCATGATGTAAATCTAGCATGATTTTTCTTTGCTTATTTTCTTGGTTTGCTTTCAATTGAACAACTTTTTTTTTATATTCAATATTCGCTTTGCGTGCCAAATGTTTGACTAAAGTCATGTTCTCCTCAACTTATTCTTTACTTATTATTAATTCTTATTAGAATCAGATATAATCAGATCAGAAACAACTTTAAATATAACTACAATCAGATCAGATCAGAACTTATTTCAATCAGATCAAAACCATTCAGATTAGGTGAAGAGAACATGATCTTTGTCCCATAACACTTTTAGAATACGAATAAATGTGCACCCTAGTAATGGGTAATTTTGTTTTTTTTAATTATGATTCGTCTATCATACACATCATATCCTACTTTATTATAAAGTAAAATCAAAATGAGAAAATAATACTTTATTAAAATTACACATTTTTAGAATGTGCATTTTTTTATTTTAAAAAGTTTTATGGGACGGAGGAAGTATAAAAATATACAATGAGATAAAATATAAAATTTATATCAAATTATTGGCATCGAAAAACACATTTATTGTACCCCTCCGGTCCTAAATTAAAAAATTGATATATCAAAATTATATGCAAAGATGAAAACCAAATTATATTGAATTTATACTATAATTAAATATACTTTTCTTACAATTTATGATTAAAATGTGTTATTGTTTGACCAAAAAAAGTTAAAATAAGAAAGATTTTTAGGATTGAATGGAATATTATTTTTAATTACGGAGTACTTTTTACTAATATATTTTTAGAGATATTATTGGTCAAGCATTAAACTCAAAAAGTTAACTCCACAGTTACGTTAAAAAGAAATGGAAGAAGTAATGGGTATCATATTAAAGATATTAATGATCTAAATATCATATTAGAGCTTGAAAAAAAATCAAATAGAAAGAAAATTATGCAAGGGGAAAGGTATGTTTATATTTATTTAACTTTTAGCGTACTTGATTTGTAATATAAAAATACGAGTAATGCTAATTGTACACTATTTTGTAGCCTAATTTGCACACCACCCCATCATATTTATTATCTAGTCTTTAATATTTACACAACCTAGGAAAAGTGTATGATGGATGCTTGGTTGGTGTGCAAATTGGGATACAAAAAAGATTTATCAAACCATTTTTTGTAAAAATATTGTCTTTAAAAGAGTGAAGAGACTAGTTATTACCAAGTAGTAGGAGTTGTGACTTGGGACTCCCTCATTTGGTGGTAATAAAAAAAATAAAGAATGAAGGAAATTGGTTTAACTTTTTACAGAGTATCAAATTAAAAAAAAACATATTTTTATAACCTTTATAACAGAAAGTGCAATTTTAATGTTCATTTTAAAAAGCATCAAAGTGGTGTTTTTGAGATGAGAACTTTAAAAGCGTGCTTAAATGACATTTGGTTTCTCCATATATTCTGTTCCTTCCCAAAAACATTACTTTTTTTTTATGTTTGAAGAAACTTGTGAGGCACATGTTCATAACACAATTTATTTATTTTTGGAACAATAACACAATTTATTTGTGGGATTATATACAATGGGCCTGTTTGGGAATAACGTTAGCGATTAGCGTTAGCATTTTGAAAAGGCTATCTACGGGCAGCGTTTAACGTTAGCGTTTTTAAAGTAATCTGCACCGTTAAAATTTTATCCAAAACGCTAACGCTAATCTCTAATGCTATTCCCAAACAGGCACAATATGCAATTTATTTTGAATCCTAATCATTGTAACTTACTTCTAGTTGTTCTTACTTACTCCGTATTTATTTGAGGGATTATAATAATATGCAATTTATTTGGAATCCTAATCATTGTATCGTAACTTATTTCTAGTTGTTCTTATGTTGATCCAATTTTTTTCTCATCCCATCATTCTTTTGGCAACCATTTTGGAGCTGGGTAAGTTAGGGGATACTCCTTCCGTCCGGAAATATTCTTTCCATTTGATTTTTCTTGGTCAAAGTTTAGAAACTTTGACTGTGATATATGGAAAAAATACATTGTATCACGATATAACTTTAATATGAATATATTTCTTTTGATATATAATTTTAAAATATCAAATTTTTACAAAATATATCTATGTATAAATAAAGATATTAGTGGTCAAAGTACAATCTTGGAGACCGTAAAAAATCAAATGGGAAGAAAATTTCCGGACGGATGGAGTATAAATTATCAATTTAAACGAGATATCAGATGTACTGAAAAAATGCAGTGGTATCGCCAATGACACCGTTGATGAGTGTCAACAGAATCATAAGATTAGTAATATTTTTATATTTTTTTGAATTAGTGCATTGGAGAAGAATCGTTAAATTTTTAATATTTTTTAATTTATTTTTTTAGAACCATAGAGTCACTAATCCAGAATTTTATTTTTATAATTATGTGGTAAATAAGAATCATATTTTTTAATCAATATGAAGAAAGAGATCAAAATCATAATTACGCGGTAGAGATATGAATCAATGTTTTCGCTAATCTATATTAATGCGGGAAGAAGAGTCGTATGTTTTATCATAGAATCATAAGATCGGTAACTATGTTATTTTGATTTAATATGGGGGAGAAGAATCATATGATTGCTAATACCTTTTTCATTAATATTTTTTGAATTAATGCGAGGAATAAGAATCATAGATTCGTAAAATTATTAAATTTAGATAATTGTATTTGAAGTGTAAGTGGTATACACTATAGAAACAGAGTCGGAGAGAAAAAGCATGCATACCCTAAATGAATTTCGTATCATATGGTCGAGGATTATTATCATTGAAGCTTCAAATTAAGAAGATAATTTTTGAGAGTTTATGTTTTGATATGACTATTAATGAAATTCAAAGCCAAACACTATATTATTAAAATGAGTATTATCAATTATGTTATTGAGAAATATTTATCAAACAATTCAATTATAAAAATTGATAATAATAGTAAATGTGATAATAAGTGTAATAATAATGACAAACGTAGAACATAATTATACCTTATTTTGGTTGGAAATATATATACACACATATATATATATGTATGTATGTATGTATATATATATATGTATATGTATATATATATATATATATATATATATATATATATATATATATATATATATATATATATATATATAAAATTGTGAGAATATATATGGTAAGTGTTGAATTTAGAAATTGTAATTTGTCTACTTTTTGGTCAATTAACAACGGTTACTTGCACATGTTTATATAATAATAATAATAATAGTAATAATAATAATAATAATATAACAAAAACAACAATAATAATAAATGTGTATGGTGCTATTAATTATAGTGTACTCCAAAATAGAGGCATTAATAAAAAATTTACATTTATTAAAGGACTAGATTTGTTTTGAAAATTATACATTATAAAAAAATAGATGCCATTGAATAGAAAAAGAAACAAAAAATTTCTTACTATAAATACGGTCATTTAATTTTCAATCACTTTTGTAATCAGTCTCTCTATTTTTTTTATGTTTTTAAATAACGTTCCTTTGTTTTTATGTAGTATATAAAGTTCTCCATTTTATTATCAGTTCGGCAAGAAAGATGGTAAAAAACCATTAAATATGAACAAAATTTGTGGCTGAAATTTTTATTTGACTTATTTTTAAAACTATACACATATATTTAATACTCCCTCCGTCCCCCATAGATCTTCCCAATAGCCCTTTTTCTTTGTCCACAATAGATCTTCTCATTTCATTTTTTAACAATTAAAATACCATAACTACCCCCACTTACTTTATTTATTACACCTCACCCACCTCATTTAATACACTCCACCCATTTTTCATTAAGAGTATTATAGTAAACTTTCACCTTTTTTCAACTCTTCTTAAAAACCACCAAAAGTCAAA